TGTGACAGTGTGCGTAATTTTGTAGTGTGACTTTGTTTAGGTATTCGTGGTCTTTGCGTTGGGTCAGTGTTTGAGAATTCTAACAATGCATTGTCGAATTCTTTTTGAAGGGATGTGAGTGTTTGGTTCGTGTGATTATTTGTATCTATCGATGGCTGCAGTGTCGCAAATGTCTGTATTTCAGAGTTGTTTAGAACGGATGTATTATCTTGTACGGCGAGTGTGTTGTTTGTGTTGAGTAGTGCTTCAATTTCGTGCCTGATTTGCTCCTGTGTGTCTAATGTAAGGAGTGTATTTTTAATGATAACTCTACGTTGGTCTGCAATGCGTTGTTCTGTTAAGTGTGCTAAATGTGGGTATTGTGTAATGAACGCGTGATATAGTTTACCTCTGTATGCTGTCCTGTCCGTTTCCAACTTCGTGATCTCCAGATACGTACCGAAAATGAAGCGATTCATCCCTTCGTCCCATTTCATACGTCTTTTGGAGGTTTCCATTGCGCTGGTCCCATCCACAAGCGGTTGAGAAGCAGGCACAAAGGTTTCTTCTTGGTGGTCCTCTTCAAGTGGTCGTTGTCGTCTTCGTGGTCTTCTTTCGGCTGTAAAGGTTTCGGGTATCCCGACGAGCGGCCGCCTGATCACCAACTCGTCACTATCGGCTCGCATGCTGCAACGCCCAGCGATAGCTCCAGACGTGCCCTGACGCTCCTCAGGTAGCGGCATTTTTCCGAGGCTTTGTTTATACTCCATTTTCATGAGAATATGGGGTGACTAGGAACACGTGAAGGCGTCACTCTTCAAGATATTCGCGTAAGCAAATATCCACCTGCGTGTTGTGTATAATGTAGGAAAGTGGGGACCTTGGGCGTGGAAGTTGGAAAGTAAAGTGGGTAGGTAAATACTAAAGGTGGTTGGACTGGTCACCTTTAGTGCCCATTGATCGCCTTTTACGATCTCTAGGGCGAGAGTGGGCCTATTCTATCCCCGAACCCACAGGGGTATTATTATTACTTATATTATTTCTTATCTTGAATTACGCGATTTGCCGAAGCTTGCCGACTACTGAAGTTTTTGCGCTAGGTACGCGTTAGGCGGGGTGTGGGACACCTCCCCTACCTTGCCGTCATCCCGTCCTGGAGAACCTGACAGCATCTGTTCTGCCCTGGATGCATAAATTCGTCACATCTTTCGAGATTTACTTTTAACGGTAAACGAAAACTTTTACCTTGACGCATTTACCGAGTTAGGCGCTGGTGTTAATTACTTTATTACAAAAATGTATTGTTACAGTAAAACAACATTTCAAGTTTTAAAGCAAACAATTTCCTTCTGGAGTTTCCACTGTACCGATCGCTTGCCAATAGTACTACCGTCTCCTACTAATAGGCAATGTAAATGTTGAGCTAGCACTTATTGAAACACACTTCCAATTATTATTTCAACTCAATGACCTTGAATTCCTATTTACCGATCCCTTGGATAAATGTATCCGTCGTCCGTAAATAATAAGCCAATGTAGATGTATGCAGAATAAACGGTGGAAAACACGAAGTATGGAAGAGTTACATGTTTGAATAAGGACTGGCCTATCCTTGCTTGATGTATCCGCTTGCGAGAGATTTGTGACGTATCTATGGTTTCAGGTCGATAAACCATAACCTGTCAGCATAAGGCATCGACTGAAAGAGCTGCGTTCGTAGGCTGCAACATGTGGCCTTCTCGGCACACGTGTGCATACTGTTTATTTTATTCTATATTTCTTCACTGGAGCGCTTCAATGCTCTTACTTCAAACCTGGCAGAAATGTACGTCTAATCAGATAATCGCTTGAACTGCATGGAGTAATAACAATGTGGAGCTGCGCAGATTTTGACTGGCTGTATATTTCTCTTTAGGCCAAACACAACAACTGCTTAAGTTGCACTCAATACGGTCTTTGTCGGCTATTTTGGAAAATCGTCAACATACTGTCTTGACGTCGTATTTTTAACGGTGGATTTTACGAAGAGGGCAGTCTTAATTTCGTACATACTAATTCATTTGGTTGATCAATACATGAATGTTTGCCTTGTTATCGATTCTGTGGCGCTTGAGCAAGGTTGATCGTGAGATGACAATTACGAGAGTTGGGCTACTTTATGCAGGATGCGTTTTCTGTCAGTGTATGCTTATAGCTTTATCGCAGAAACTCTGTCTGAGGTTTTTGTGTGTGCGTGCGCCGAGGAATAACAAACCGTGCCTATAACAACACGTATTGGGATGATGCGCGAGTATGGCGCGTCGTGCAGAGCTGTGCTGGGTGACAGGACTCCGTTCGCTATATCCAGTATTTCGACAATTATATCTGGCTCAAGGGCAAGCGATGCGTACGCTGGTTGTTGGGTGGTTCTGATTATGCTTGTACTAATTCTAGAGGTGTAGCTGGCGTTGTTGGTATATCAATTATAAGAGGCGGAGGAAACGCAGCTGTGCGTCTGAAGCGCGATGTAGCGTATGCTTTCTTAGAGGTGAGCCATGAATATAATTATGTGACTATCAGTGCGCATGGGCCATGTAATGGTACAGTGGTTAAGTCTTAGCCCATTTCATTTGCTTATTCTCGCCTCACAAATTATATTAACGGGACTTCTTCCTTCAAGTCGATGGCCGGCGAAATAGTACATGTGTAAGTGGCCTTTTCCAATAGGTAATTATAGCTTGTTGTTTCAAGGTAGAGCGTTGCTGAGAGACCTGGTCGGGCATCGGACCTATTTGGTTGTGAACGGGTTATGCCTCCTGACGTGTACTGGAGCCCGATGCTAATTGGAGGACAATGATTACTCTTTTTCAGGTATTCTGACAATTGTTACCTACGTACTTGGTTGCCCTTGCAATTCCAATGCGAAATTATTGCTCAAACAATACGTGTTAGCTGCAAGACTTGTTTACTACTAACTTTTCGTGTTCACTGTTGACTTTTTTATGCATACAAAATATACCCTACATTGAATTCACAAACGCCTCGACAAAGGAAGTTGCTGTGGGAGTAGGCGTTACTAGTGTCTTCACGTCACTCTTTAGAATAAACAATTGGCTGTCATAGCGGAAATCTAAAAGAGGTTGTAATGTGCGTAAAGACCTTTATGAATAAACAACTATTATTTACTACTAATAAGGAGTGTAAGTTGGCCTCTATGGATTTTGATGAATATATCCGCTTCTCGGTAAAGATTTGCGTCCCGATTTATCGCGCCTTCAAAAAAAACACCACCTCCTAGACAGACAATTTGTTCTTCCGAGACGTTCTTTGTCTCCCGCGGGAAATATGTGGCCCATGGGGGAGAAGTTCGTTTCCGCTTGGCAATACTGTGGTTTTATTTACGCCAGTTTTGACTCCACCATCGAGTAAAATCTTTTTCTGGGGCAATATTCCCTTTGTGCGATACACCTCGACCATTCCGTTCACGCAATTGGAGTTTGATAATATGACTCACATCAGTAAGATCTTGTGCGGGGCGTACACGTTTCTTTTCTGTCGCGTACACAGTTTTCCGACGTCCCGTTCACGTCGCAATTCGCTTTTGGTGGATTTCATGCTAAATCCGACAAATAGATACTGCCATTTCTGGGGTACTATCTCATAGCTCTAGTTTGTGTTGGCGGAACACAAGACAAAGAGAGATCCAGACGGAACTCTTTGGGCGCCTCATAGGTGATACCCCTCGAAGGGCGCTCGTGCAAAAGGTGGTTCATTTCGCCCCTAAGAATAAAAAGCAACACAAAATCCGTCTCAAAAAATCGTGTGCCCGTTTAGACTAAGAACTTTCCGACGCGTCTTTCTTCTTATCTTGGCTACCGTTGATCTACCGACGACTGAGGTGAAACTCGGAATGCTCTTTGATGAATCCGCGCAAAATTGCTCTTTTCGAGGATCGCGACGGCTAAACGGGCTGTTCTGCACCCAACATGGCGACGGGCTACCTTTGCGATATCGCTACTAGGTTCTGGCTGTTACTCGATTCAGCGGCGTGAACGAATGGTGAGCTACTTTATGTTTAACTTCAAAATTGGTTAGATATTGGTGACGAGGGCAGACACGCTATCACGATTCGATCCTGTTTCTCGCTCGAGGAAATGGAAAGAGGATAACATGATAAAAATCAAGTTTATTAAAGACTTATTACTTCTTTTCTCTTAGAAAATCGCCTTTTTTACGTAATAACACACGTGTCAATAAAATGGGAGTTGGAGGCGGCCCGCCGGATAAATAGGGTGTATCTCATTCATTTCAATATTCGCTGCATTTTTCCGTTAGTGCAACAAAATCAAATATTTACTCTAAACTACGCGAGTGCAGAAGAACCTAATTCTGTTTTCGTAATAAGTATACAATAGATCGAAAAGTCAAATAAACACTGCTATGAAGTAATGCGTGTAGTAACCGCCTCCAGGCCCGAGATCATTAATTGAACAAACAGATGTTACAAGCACTTATTTGATGCAGACCCTAGTAGTGATTTAAATCGCCTTACAATACAAGAATTCAAACGACAATGCAATAGAGTCTTAACGACGGGCGACACAACAAAGATGATAATTGATAAACTCCGACGCGACAATGTTTACTGGTTTTATAAATATCCGTTGCAACGTCATTTTATATCACGTGCACTAAATTCGGCAGTGCAATCTTGGGTCTCGCTCCGAAGATGTTTGAAATCAAAGAACTCAGGACCGCCACGCAAGCATCAAATTAAAATTTTCGGGTTCGGTCAAATCACAGGCACGGAGGTTCAAACGCCGACTTTTTCGGCACACCTCCAAGTAGACTGTGCACGGACCGCGCAGTGAACAGGGAAAATGGTGTGTACGGGGCTTATACTAGCATTAGCGGCGGCTATACATATATGAAGCA